GTGTAATGAAGTGTAACAAGAGGTAAAAAATATAATTTTTAGACTTTAAATATTACAAAATAAAATTCAAAGTTACAATTTAAAAGAAAACGATAAAATTATAGATCCTCAAAAAAATTACTGAAGTAAAGTAATTAATGTAAGTGTATAGTAGTATACGCTTATAGTAAAAGTGTAAAGCAATGAAGTCAATTTTTAGAATATTTATTATTTGTTTTTATTCTATAATTAGTGTTTAGCATAAGAATCTTATAAATAACATTTTTTTAAAAGCTGTATGAATCATGCCTTTTGATTTTTTTTCCTCTTTGGTCTCGTTCTTGTCAGAAACTTGACCGTTGATCTGYTGTTCTTGCTTGAGGAGCAAAGTAACTTAACAAATTTGACTTTAAATGAATAAAATAAAATAAATTTGACACATTTCAATATGTTATAAATTATATTTTAAACCAATTACTGAAAAACATGTTTGATTTTATTATACTGATTTAAAACATTTAATCAATGCATTTATTTATATTGTTTATCTTCCGTCCAGCTTTCTGGGGCCACACTGTGAAAGACAACACCGTTTTAGCGTTAGCCAGGACGTTCTAGAAATGCAAATTTAGACAAACATTCCACAAGTCATCCTACGAACCATGAATACACACCATGTTTTGTGGAAACACCCTTGCTTTTATTTTCATTTTTAGACATTTCTCTCAAACAGCCCTTTTGAAGACGCTTTAGTGGGAATTGCCATCTTCACTATCATCAAAGCTGCACTGTTCTCTCTCTCTTTTTCATATAACAACTAAACAGCTGAGAAAATTGTGTCTGGACCAAAGTGAAGTAAATGAGTGCCATCCCTACCTGCAGCTGTGCCAACAGGCATATAACTATAGTTACCAATGTAACGGATTATTACACACAACTCACAGAGCAATGACTCACATGTTTTTTTTAATTTACACTTTATTATCACATCAGAGGGCTTTTTGCATGCACACCACTCAGAGTGCTGCTGATGTAACACACTCATATCAATCTGCTCTGCAATCAATCAAAGCTGAACGTTTCTCCGGGTCAGTGGAGACTCTAATATCTGGGGCAGATGTGGATTTATGACTGCACGCGTCTCCTCCATTCTCTGATTTTTTTTTCACTCTTTTATCTATTTTTACCACATTTCCCTCCTTGTTTTGTGTATTTCTTTTAGGAACCGCAGCCTCCTGCTGTTGAGTCTAAGATGCATCATGTTCCTGTTTCTAGAAGAGCCTCCCTCGTTTTTTTTTTTTCTTCCTGCTGCCCTCGTCTGTTGCTCGGGTTTCTACGAGGAAGTCCTCGCTCTGTCTTCTCGTTGATTCATACCTTCTACTGT